TCTGTCGTCACTTATTTTGTCATTTTGTCTTGTGTATTAACCCCCACTTGTCTTGTTTATTGTGTCAACTTGGGTCTATTGTCCTTCCCCATCTGTTACTCTGTCATGACTAATTTCATTGATATATAAAAATAGTAATAACAATTACAGGATAATATGGTTATTTCTCGATTGCTTTTTCAAAGGGAAGCACCAGCTCCTGCAAACAATGCATCCGATCGTCGATCCGGCGCAACCGGCATCTCGCACACGCTTAACAACACCACCAGCAGGTAGAGGAAAATTTCCCCTATCTGATGATAGTGCCAGCACGCGCGGGCAAGCCACCAGTTACGCCAAATCGACGACCAAACGCACCGCCTACAAAAGCCGATACGCTCCCTTGAAAAAGTTATCGTGATTTCTACTAATTAATGAATTATTGACAATTACCTCTCATGATCCTTGGCTCTGATTTTAACTTACCACTTTTTGATTATTTATCAAATACCTCTCCCAGAATATATAACTCCCCGATGCTTTGTTGGTTTCTGGTCTCATTTGGATTGGTCCTGAATTTGTTTGACATCCTGTTCGAAGTAATTCTTTGAGTTCCAGCTTGCACGTGTCTCACGTCATATGATTCGCCATTCATAAAGATAATGGGTTAAAAGGGAGTAAAACATACATAAAGGTAGATTAGTATTAGTTGTACTTGATCCAAACAATAGAAAGAAGCATAGATGTCTTAGTAGAAAAATAAAACTAATAAATAACTAAAAGTGCAATGGATAAGTGTTAGTTCCGGGATCATTTTAGTGTTAGTAGTTATGTTAGTTTTGATCCGTATTCAGCCCTGCTGGCCCCTCCAGCACTATTTGCAGCAATTGTGATAAGATTATGCGACACTGCTACTACTACTATGTTAGATGTATGACTTGTCGCAACGCAATGTCTTTCAATAAATCACTCAATCAATTTGATGTTTGAAAATTTGCTCAAAAGGGCTTTGTTGACACATCATACCTTACCGAAAACTAAAGCACAACAATCCTAATTCTTATTTCAAACCTATCAACTTATTTAACACATCTTTCCTAAAATTTCACTTGTTCGTAAGCGCCTGGTTGAAGATATGACTTTCGCTATTGACATTGTCTGTAATTAACAAATACACTAAATAGGAAGATTTATTATACAACTTCATAGGCTAGTCGCCTCCCTAAGCGGACCCCCCGCGTCCTATCTCTTATGTTAATTAACTTTCTGAATTCTATAATTGAAGTTTATTTAATAAATAACTGAAATCTCTAATCTACCTACACAATCATAACCCATGCTTTTAAACTACAATTTAACGTGTTTCAAGTACTTCTGGCTTTTACATATCTTATCTTATATCTTTGTTCGTCCCAGATGACACCTTCAAGTGACTAAAATGCTTCACTTTGAAGTTAGTTTCCAAGCTAATTTTAAATTGTATATTGTATAGGGTAAATGTTCCAACTACGCTCTCACGTTTCCACTATGTCGCACCACAAAAATACATATGGGTATGTCACAATAAAAGCACACCACAGTGGAAAACCCGAGTCATAGTTCAAACACTTATCCCAAATCAAAATGAAGCACATATAAGATTAGTTACAATACCATGTACAAAAATGATGTTTAACATTGTTTTCTGAGTAATACTTCAATGAAAACAACAACAAAAGCTTGTCACGCAAGTAGAAGGAGCACTGTTGGGCACTTTCTGAAATATTTCAATAGTATAATTCCCTTGCAAACCCAAATAAATCTATCTGCGTAAAAAATAAATAAAATAAGAGTGATTTGCGGCAAAACCCGCCAGTATCACACCCAACGTCAGTGCCTATACGTAAGCGTACTACGACGCGGCTCTCAATTAAAGGAGTAACAAGAGTGATACTATCACTGCTAGACTAGATCTTTGGTTCTCTCATGCAGCGGTTTATCAGAGAGGGGAAGCTTAGTAATCCCCATCGCCTGCCCATGTCGCCATTCTATCGCGGCATGAGCCAGCAACGCCGACCATAAACCTACCGTCTCCAACACTCCACTATAAAGCATGAAATTAAGCCCGCCCACCAACAGCAAGGTGCAAAAACTAGCCAAGGGGAGGGACTTTATTCACCTTTATACAGCGATATTGTAAAGCAATACAATAAAATCTAATAATGGAGCTAGAAAACATTTATAAGACGTCTAATAAAGCATTTTATAAAATCAATTGAAAACAGCCGATGTAAAGAGTCAATGTTTGTGCAAATTACACTTATTCATTTTGTTATTTGATCAGCGTTTATAAAGCTTTTAATAAGTAAATTAATCTTATCAGAGCAAACAGCGAAATAAAGGCTCATCTATCGATCTCAAGGAGCTTTTTTCAGCACATCCTCTTTTATTCAGCATTGTACACTGTTATACAGCATTTATTCAACATGTATGCTTATTTGTGACTTTGAATTGTTTGTTGGGTTGTTAGACTGAACCAGTGTTGTCGAAAAATGAATCTAATACGTCGTTTATAATAGGGCGACCCCGGCGTAGTGGTTAGCATCCATACCTCTCACGCCAAAGTCACGAGTTCAAATCTCACCCCCGGACAAGTCACGAATGACCCAAGAGCGTTAAAGTGACTATAATAAAAAAAAAAAAAGAAAAAAAAAACGTCGTTTATAAAGCATTTACAACATGTACGCATAGTAGCATAAGAGCTATTAAGCTGACTGTATTTAACTTTATTCAGTAATATTGTAAAGCAATGCAATGAAATCTAATAATGGAGCTAGAGAACATTTATTAGACGTCTAATAAAGCATCCCAACAAACAATTTTAGCAGCAGATCAGCTTATACAGACAAAAATTAGCTGCATAAGGGAATTTTCTGCTGTATAAGCTAGTCTGCAGCTAAAATTGTTAGTTGGGATGTTATCAAATCAATTGAAAACAGTCGAATTAAAGTGTCAATGTATGTACAATTTACACTTATTCAGTTTGTTATTAGATCAAACTTCTTGCGTTGAATTGGGAAGACATTTAACGCTTTTACAGCTTTTAATAAGTAAATTAATCAGATCAGAGCAAACAATTGAATAAATGTGCATCTATCGATCTCAATGAGCTTTTTCAGCACATAATTTGACAACTCGTTTTATTCAGCATTGTACATGTTATGCAGCATTTATTCAATATATATGCTTATTTGTGACTCTGAATCGTTTGTTGGGTACCTTCAGTCCTCAGAGTTACTGGAGTTTTCTGGGGTACCCGAAGTTGAAAATTGTCAATAATTCTAGCTGGTTCTCCGGAAGATCCGTAATGCCCGGTATACAATAGTACTGGTTCACTAAGGCTGATAAACCAGCTGCTAGCAAAAAAGGTAATCAGCATGATGTAAACAGTTTTCAGCAACTGATTTTTATCAGCACGCCAGTTTCAGGTGCCCCTGAATTTGTAAGCTGACTGACATTTTGGTTTTCAGCATGATCGGCTTACTCGCAATGTGTCAACACTTACTCCATGCTGATGGTTTGAGAAAAATTATCAGTACTTTTGAACCAGCGTATGTGTAAAAAAAAAGCACTTCGCATGACATCCCTGTATTTAATATACATCATAAATAAAAGGGGCCCTAATACACTTCCCTGGGACACTCCAAGGTTATTCTCCACGGGACTAGAAGCAGAATCATTAAAAACAGTCCGACGAGATCTATCAGACGAATAGCTTTCAAACCATTTAGATGCAGTACTCGTAATTCCAAAGCGCTTGATTGATCGTAACAATAAGTGCCTACAAATTGTTTCATTGTTTCAATTGTTACGCTCCAAGATATCTTTCCACTTCGCTTATACCCAATTCAACGCGGTTTCACAAGAATGACCTTCTTGGTATCCCGAATGTTCTCGGGAATCGACTAAAGATTGAGATCCGCTAACCATGCTACTCTTCTGGAACGTGGAACATTACTGCTAATACCCGTATAACGGTAGTATGGTGAAATTGGTTTTTTTTTATTCATGCCGAATTTATATTCTTATTGTAATTTATTAAAAGTTAATTTTAAAATTAATGAAAAATACAGTGGAGGTACGTCAAATGTTGAGACCAAGCCACCAACTGCCTAAATCCAGGCCCGGCTATAATTGTAGCTTTTGAAATTCTGGATACCTAAAATTCTATTCCAATACCATTCTCCTACCATCAAAGGGAAGTTCATCACCCTAGTTAGCGCTGCACATGAAACATCGATTTGTACAATTACTGCAGCAGCGGTCTTGGTGGACGCCTAATTCTACCACCAGACAGCGTTCGCGTGCTTTATCAATTTCATTCCTACACCTGCAATTTGGACTGCACTCTGACACTTTACATTTCCTCTCTTAAATTGAATATTATTTTTGCTCATGTTGCAGGGATTATGGGTAAAACATTACAATGTAACTGCGAGCGTTGTATGAAATCTGAAACTAATGCTTTCTGTGTTTCAATTTTCAATATGGCTAATCGATTCCAGGATACCAGGATTTAAAATTTGAATTTCTTCACGCGAATGATTTCTTTCTTTGAACAAATAGGTACCTCAGACTGCATAACTACTTACCAACGATTTAGGACATTGATAATTGAAGAAAACTGAGTAAGAATATTGAAACTTTGCTTTTCGTTCCAAACAATGAAACTATTTTGACAATTTGCGTGCGAAGAAAATGTGCAAAAGAGGCCGTCTGAATATCGGCGCATGTCCTTTGATATCTTTCCCATCCCATCCCAACAGATGGCCGTCATGAAACAGCATGCGAATCTTGGTGTTTGTTTATCGATGCAGATTGCACGTGGACCGTGGCGGAGGCGTCGTAAGCAACAGGTACAGCACCACGTGGTCGTGTTTACCAACAAAAATCTGAAATTTATGACCTGCGCTCTTTACAATACCGGCGGAGATACTCTGGAGGATTTTCTAGTATAAAAAAGAATTAGGTAAAAAGAAATTTATTCGAGACATACGGCATCATAATCATAATAATACTAGCCCCTAAGATAATCCATGAAAAACGGAGTGTCTTCAGGAGCGTAAGGAATTATCGGAACGTCATAAGGCATGGGAAAGGTGGGATGCTGTTGATCAGGCTTCGATTCCATCGGGAAGAAGTTTTCCTCAATCTAAAAGAAGAAACAAGTTGGAAAAAATATGCGTAAATCTTGCCTCAATATGCTAGCTTACCACAAACTTTGGCAAGAATAAGACACCTGCCTCGTAGCTGTTGATCCTGAGCGGCGCTTCAAACTTGGCCGATTTATTGTACACACCCCAGGCAGCTTTCGAAAGATTCGCCGACGTCAGCAAGAACCAATACAGACCTCGATGAGACCACCGACAGTAGGTTTTGATGTGAGGTACTGCTTTGGTCCTATTCCTAGAATCACTTTTCCACTGATGCAAATAGTCCTTCAACCACTGCTGCTTATCGTTCGTGGCCTTCATATATGGTAGGCATCCCCCTCCCAGCAGATGATCATGACTGTTCCTAACATTGGAGAAACTTGGGAATATCATCTTGAAAGCAGGAACTCTTCGCAGTCCGATGGGGGCCGAGTCCCTCCTAAAACTGGCCATTATTTCCGACAGGACCCAAGACTGTGGAGTTGGACCAAGGCTGCCTATGCTGGAACTTTGAGCCACCAGCGGACAAGTATCATCGACAGGAGCGGAATGCTTTCCCAGTAAATAACCTAACCGAGGATGTCCCCATAGCGGTCCCTTAGGAGTATTAAGATGGCCACCAGGAACTGATGCAACTAGGAAAACGCTGAGAACGAATTACCATTTAAGTATCCTAGTTAAATCTATAGGAAATCAGTCTAAAATACTCACTTCACCTGACTGAAATCGCTCTTTTGAACTCTAGTCACCCACTGTTGCAGGTGACCAATTTTATATGAATTCAAATATGTGATCAAACTTTCCCGGAAACCTGTCTTGCTTTCGCCGAAACCTGTATCCGCATCCTCCGGAACCGCCGGTAACCTTGGACTGACCCACAGCCCCTGTGTCCGGTTGTGCCAATCGTCTTCGTATAAATTAGCCGTCGACACTACAACTCGCATCGACCCGTCCGTATATCCGTACAACCCCATTTTGGTATGGTGGACCCCGAAGGGTGTGCTAATGTTGACTTTCACTGCCGTTACGTTCGGTTTTTTCGAGGACACCATCTTCAGCTCGGGAGTTTCATCGCCATATAGAATCAATAATGGACGATCTTCGTATCCGGCAAAAAAATAATGCCCCAGAAGCCACCCGATATCCACCATAAAGTTCATTTGAACGGAACATTCCAGCTCCCCCAGGCTACCGTCCAGCAGTTCCTGAAACGTTACCGACAACGGTTCCGAGTGGGTCACTTTGGCATCGGTTATAGTCGTCAGGAAGTAGTTGTAGGGAGCTGCATCCGCAAGCTTCTTGGCCATTTGACCTTTGGGAGCTACCACTGGATAGTAGTCGTGAATATTCCGTGGGATAACCTTTTTCAATGAAATTCCCGTCTCTTTGGGTGGATCTGGTTTCTTCTGTGCCTGTGAACTGCTGGTCGACGGTTGGGGTTCTGTTTTCTTTTGCTCTTCACGTATTTTAGCCATTTTCGCCCTACGCTCGGCAAACAGATCAGCGACGGCGTTACCTTTCGGTGGAGATTTTTTGCTAGAAGAGGAACTGGTCGATTTGGCATCACTATTTGCGGTGGATACACTTCCGGGCTGGGAACTAGCTAATTTCGGCGACGATCCACTGGTGGAGCTCGGTTGCGAATCGAGTTTGGTGTCGTTCTTAGAATGCTTCGTCGGAGGACGATTATTGTTTAGCAGGTCGGGATAAATTTGGGCTAAAATTTTGAGCTGTTCTCCAACCACCTCCCGGCTCATGAATAGCTCGTCCGGTATGCGATACTTGTCCTTAGCTGGAGCTTCCACTAGAATCGATTCCACTACAAAACAGCAATGCGTGAAGGTTAAACGGTGTGAATCGGGTGTAAGCAGTTACTGATACTTACAATGTGGATGGGAAAATTCCTTGAAATGCGCGGGATTCTTGCGGTAACAATCGGAACCATACTGGCAAATCTTATCTGGCACTAGAAGTGTAGAACAAGAATGGTAAATGCTGAGAAAGCTGACGGACATGGATCAAACTACTCGAAACTACTTACCTTTCTCAATGGTCCTTCTTTTATTACTTTCCATTTTATTTTATCAGTCGCTTATTTTTTAAAGGGATTAACTTTTACAATAGCAAATAAGAACACACTAATTTAAAAACTAGAAACCTTTTATTTATTTCCTTCGAGAATTTCGAGCCGCGCAAGCATCAGATGCTGTTCAATCTGCAAAAGAGCGGAGCATCGGTGGATTGGACAGAATAAGAAAACCAAAACAAAATTTGCCAAAATGTGACAGGAAGAAAATGCCTTACACAGTAGAGGCACAAACGAAGTGACAGACGACTAACTGGCAAAGAAATCAATTAAAATAATGTGGTTCGCTGTAATAGAATTTTCTTAGAAGCTTTTGCCATCATCCACCAGATGGGATAGTATTTTTGTTTTGATTTGAACGTAGTTGGTTTTGTGTGCAATATGATCTTTGACAGTGTGCAAAGAGTGTATAATTTTGTCATTTTTTTTATGCATTTCAGTTTAGAGTAGAGTGAAAGAGATAGAACCAAAACATTCTAGTACAATCCATTAGTAGTGTTGCCATGTGGTACAATCCAGTAGTAGTGGTGTTGCCATGTGGTACACTGAAAAATTGCAATAGCAGGTGCGTCACCAAAGTTTTCGAGCTGCTCCGTCTGTCACTTCGTTTGTGGTACTACCAACTACGATACTTTTAAATTGTCCGTTACATGCTTGTTCGATGAAAAACTTGCGAGAGTTATGTCTGTTTGTCTGTGTTTAAATGTTATCTTACTTTAGTCCATGTAATTCATATATTTATCATTCAAAGTAAAAGGTACAAATCAAGTTCGAATTACGCTCCATTGCTCCGAACAACCGTTTCACTTCTCATTTTCTCCCCCGACTGTTTTCTTCTCGAGTCGGTAGAAATCCTTGCTGTTCTCCTTGTGCAGATTCAGCTTCAGAGCGAACCCATCGGCCAAATCCTGAATCGTATCCATCTCCTTGCTGGTCAACCCTTCCGGGAGGGTAAGCTGTTTGCTTTTCTCGTCTTCCACAAATGCCTCCAGCGTTTTCGTCATCGTTTCCGTAAATTTGATCTGCTCGTCGGTTTGCCGCTCGTCCTTGCGTTCTTTCAAACCGAAAGCACGCGCACATATGGTTCGTTCTTCCTGTCGATGCTTTTCCCAGCGTTCGTTTAAAATTTTCAACTCCTTTACGATGTCCTTGTTGGTCGGTTCCAGTCGCTGAGCTTTCAACAAACTGGTCTTGGCACGCTGGTATTCTCCCAGGTTCATCAGGGCCCGTCCCTCGTGGAACAACGGTCGTGACATACGATCAATATTTCCGAGACGACGGATTTCGTTGATCATCGAACAGGCCCGACGAGGATTTTCCTTTTTGTTGTAGCAAACGGCCAGGCTCGTGTACAGCGAAATCAGTGTTTCGGTTTGCTCTTTCTGTTCTTCCTCGTCCTTCACGTTGCACCGTTCCAGGAAGTTGACGGCTTTGTGGTAATCGTTGATTGCATTCGCAACCATGTTCCGCTTGAAGAAGTCCTTGGCGTGAGTCCTGGTGTCGGTAACTTTCTGCTTCACCACAGCGTAGGTCATTTTCTCCTCTTGGGTCAGTTTATCCAAGGCCTCTGCATCACCTGGATCGGTAAAGCTAACCAGCTTCACGATAAACAAGGCGTCAGCTTTGGGTTTGATCCGTGGTTTGCATCCCAGTTCACCAAACAGAACCTGATATCCGATCACGAATTGTGCCTCCTCGCTGGGTTTCATGGACTTGACCGCTTCCTCCAAACCTCCGACCACTTCGTCTTTGCCGATGGTGAATGTCTTGAATTCGCCACGCATCGAAGTGGAATCGAACGCGTACGTCTCGCTCTCAAAGTACCCATTGTAATCGATTGTGACCCGGGCGCGATCCGGAACCAGCTCTTCACCAACACCCTGCTTGGTGATGCGTTTGTACACAAACTCCGACACCATAAACATTTGCGCACGCAGCTCATCGAAACTCCTATCCCAGGGGCTCATTATCTTCCGGTGGGCATCCTCGTCCTCGTCGGCACTGCCGTAGTCGTCTTCCATGAAGAACTCCCCCCCGTGGTCGTTGTACTTTGTGCTGATCTGAAACTGGGCACCATGTTCGCCGAGCAAATCGCTGGAAGATGGAGGAAGGGGTGGAAACAGTTTTTCGATGTACAGTTGAAAACTATTACCTGATGTTCAGCGCTTCCTTCAACACTGATCCGTCCATTGTTTACAGGTTCTAGTGGAATTTAACGCGTAAATCACTTAAAAGCTGAGTAAGCAGAAAAAAAATGGTTCAATCAGCTTTGTCCGGTAGCGTGGTCGGTTCTCTTTTGTTATTTACTTCGTCTTCGTAAAAAAGTGACAAACAAGTGCGCCGAAAAAGATTTGTTCGATGCAGAATCCAACTTCGTTGTGGAGTGAAACGTTTCTGAAGGTTCTCGAGCTTGCTGCCTTTGTATGCCAAGTGCAACAGAAACAAAAACATCAAACGGTGCGCGCTGCACCATGGACGCATACCGGAATTTAGAATGGTAATTTTCCATTCATTTATCACTCTTATTTCACCAGTTAATAATAAATCTCACCCAACCGTAGGTCCAAACAGAACCGGCGTAGCGAACAGCGATTGCTGGAGTACTTTTCCGTCGATTTTTCCCAATACGAAGAGGACATCTTCAATCTGCACATTAACGAAGTCGATGCGGTGCACCAACTGAACGATACGTTCCGGGATGACAATGCGGTGGCCTTGGAATACCCAGTAGATCCGCGAACCGGCATGGAAGTAAGGCAGCTGGATATCGATACAACCAAGGGTATGAGATTGTACGATAGCTTTCCCAGTGGGTCCATGCTGACGAGGGCCGAACACCAGCACTGCTTGATGGTTTTGAACAGAAAGAACATGAGACTCGGGTTTGAGAGTGCCGAGGATCGGGAAGCTTTACACAAGTATTACGCCCTGAAGAAGAAACTGGGCAAGGAGCCTTTGCTATATGCAAGCTTTGTCAAGAATTACTTCAACAATCACTTGGTCTGTAGGAAAAGCACGATCGAGAAGGATTTGGACGATTTAGTCGTTGCTATCTGGAAGGGAAAGGCCGGCAATATGTTGAGCGAGATCTCCAGTAGAACATATATATTGAGTACGGCAGTAATGTGGCTAAACTACAAAAGCCATGAACAAAATGTGCAATTTGAGCCCGTGTCCGAAAATGTGGTGGAGCATGGAGTTGTGAGGAATATTTTCACCGAGAATTTGCTACAGTGTAAAACTCTGAAGCGAAACAAACGAGTTTTGGACAATTTTTTCAAGGATCAACATTTTTCGATGCCGATGAATGATGCTGTTCAGGTTGATACAGTACTGAAGCAAGACGAAGACGTGAGGTTCGTAATCGATTCGGGGACACTTTGTCATCTGTTGGACTGTGCAAGCAATATGGACGAGCAATGGATGGTGCCTTTGCGAATTGAGACGGTTGAGCATCGAAATGTAATTCTTATTGGGAAGAAGTTTCCCGCAACGAAAATGTCCACGCACGCGAGAAACGTAAAAGCGCACAAGTATCTAGTGAGAAGCTTCATGTCGATTACCAAAAAAGAGGCAACCCATGGTTTGGATAAGAAAACGGAGGAACGAGATGCCAAATGCTCCAAAGAAATCGACTACAAAGTGGTAGAGTTCGATGAGTATCTTCGTTTGATCGATGCGAAATCTAAAACGCAATATCATCCTCATCGAAACAGCCGTCTTCAATTATGGAAACTACAGGATGGAGATGATCAGTATAGGTTCCTGATAAGATCCCGAATGGATTGCTACGAATCTCTGCGTAAGATGAAATTCTACATAAATATATCGATCAAACTGGAATATCAAGCAGAGTTCGGTGCTGAGCAGATGACCAAGAGTGAATTGATTCGAGAATGGGTTCGTCAATTCCTTAGGCCCAATTCCAGGACACTTCGGCTTCGGATCAACGTGGTCACTCATGCCATCCTCTCACACCATTATCTGGAACTGAAGGACATCGAAGAGGCGTTGAAACGAACGTACGACATCGAACCAGCAAATCTCATTACAAACCTCTGGCAAACACTGAAGCTCCTGTTGAATTTCCCTCCTGGAGAGCACATAATGCACCACGATATCAAAAACAAAGAAACCATCATGATCCTCTCCAGCGATAACATGACCAGCACAGTGGGTTCATCCATCGATCTGGGAGAGCTGTATTCTAACGTCGAATACGTACAACCAGCCTTGGAATCGTACCAGTGGATTCCTATCGACACATCTGTGATAACTCAACTGCATCGCGAACACACGCTTCTACCGTGCACTTTTCCTCATTGGAACAGCGTCCAACGCATCACTTCCAGGGAGAAATTCAAGCACAAACGTCCTGCTGCTGCACCACCACCTTCGGTGGTGAAAACTAAGAAGAAATCCAAACGTCGCAAACAGAAAGATTACGAGAAGAAGCTTCAAAAGAAAAATCAGAAGGTTTTCGTAAATGAGATACAGCAATCGTTGAACACATTTGCACCTTATGAGGGACCTTCACGGAGTAATGCCTTCATGACCAATGCAACGAAGAAGGACCCGACGGACCTGGTTAGCTTCGCCAAGGCACGGGAACCGTTCGATTATCAAGCGTACATGAAACAAGCAAGTGCGAAGAAAGAAGACCAATAAACTGTAACGAAACAAACTTTTTTCTTCCTACCAGTTAATGTCTAATTTATCACAAATAATCCCTGTTTGTGTGTTACTCTAACGTTTCACCCCGTTGGTTGATGTAGGTACTTTTCCACCATTCGCTATCCAGTTTGTGCTTTATCGAATTCCACGTGAAATGCGTTGGCGGTTGTTCTTCACCATTGAGGAAGGTAAAATGCCTGCTCAGCTCGATGGCCAATTTGGAACGGATCAAACCCACCGAGCCGTACCGTTCCGGTGCCGGATGGTACACGCGTCCACTGAGCGGAAACATACAGATCCGGTTGGGCTCCCATGGTACGTTCAGTAGATCTCCCGCGTGGGCGAATGCCAGCCGTTCTATGCCTTCTGCGAATTTTCAACATGCAATCATTACATAAATTCGATATAGTATCTCAATCTATCAAAACCTACCCGCATCCCGAAAAACGTGGGTGAACACAACGGGAACGTCATCGCAGCGGATGTAGTTCCGTTCGCGACCGCAGGGCGATACGAAGGGAAAGTGCTCTCGGTAGCGGTCGCCATCGTTCAGGCGCAGTCGCTTGAAGAAAAATTCCAGGAATTTCTTCTCCTTGAAGCAGGATGTGAAGTTTTTGATTCGGGCATCATCCAAGAAGAGCTGGTAGTGGAATATGAATTTTAAATATTTTTAACACGTATTTTCTATATTCGGCGTATATCTGGAATACGACAAGAAGTGAATTATATTCAGGTCTTCGTAAGTGTGACGAGAATTGCCTAATCATATACTATCGTATCTGAAAAACTGGCATTGTTTTTCGATGCTTACCGACAGAATTACTTTTTTCTGTCTGTTCTTAGCTCGAGGATATTTTATCTATTAATCAAAGGTTTCGTTAGGACGTTGGGGTCCAGTATTAGGATAATGCGAGTCTGGTCCACACTTGTCAGACGATCTGCTTGTTTATGCATTTCGAGTGGCTTACCATTCCTTCATGATCGATGTAGTAGAAATATTCGCGTAGTTTTGGTGCTGGCGATTGGCCTTGAACGTAGCTTACACCGGACGAAAAACTTCTTCTCGCTGCCGATATCATTAGCCGTTTAAAAATCATGTTCACCCTTAAATCAACTATTGACAAAAAATCTGCCCAGATTGAAGATCAGAAATTTTCACCATTGGATGTGTAGCCGCACTTTTGAACCAAAACAAAAATCATATGATTTTGTATGCCAATTTCCAATTTGAGGACGGATCTATGCCGGTGTATGCCAACCCGGGGGCAACTTGACAAGTCCAGTACATTTCCAGTGTACTCCGAAAATTTGGTGCTGGTGGTTCTGTCAAACTAACAAATTTCAGAAGTGTTATCTGAATAGGGCGAATGCAGATATGTGTATGCCAACTTCCAAGGTCACGTACACTGATAAAAATAGTATGGTATCACGTACCATTGAAATGTGTTTAATTATACCATGACAGCTCATAGTAAAATCAACCGATGTTTATTTCAATTCTATTATGTTTTTAACTTATTTACTATGCTCCCCATAGAATTTCATGTAGTATTATTAATAACATTCATGGTTAAAAAATACTTCAAATTTATCATGTTACCTTGAGAATATGGTAACATCAACAGAAATGCTGTTTGGTTGGAAAACAAAACCATTACTATTTCACTGCTCTGCTAACCGTGGTAATCACAGATTATTGCATGATCGCCATTTAAAAAAAAAAACTCATTCGACAAGTGCGTATCAGCGGGTATTTTTCAGGTTGCAGATAAAAGTGGCAGCTAAAGTTGAACTATTGGATCATTCCTGGAATCATTGTTGTTGTGGAGGTAAAACTCATTAAAGGTAAACAATTTTAAGTTAATGAAGGTTTATTTATGTGGAAGCAGACGAAATACCGGAACAGCAGAATTTTCTCGATCAGGAGCTTGATTCATCTGTTTATGTCAATTGGTAATCAGTAACTATTATTAAATATATAATTTTTAACATTAGATTTTTGACAGGCTTTGAACCATATGGAATAACGGACACAAACATGCACTTTGATAAAAGCGTCGTGATCTGACCGGCACCGCCTTCCTGCAATCCTGCTAAATCTCTGGATCAAATCACAACCATTGCTCAACCAGGACCATTTAGTGTGTGTATGTTGTGCAGAGTATTTCAAAATAAATAAATTATGAAATTTTTTATTTGATTGGAATCTACAAAGAGGTCGAAAGTCTCAAATCAATGCAATTTTATTTTTACAGTAGAAATTACTACATAAATATGGTTAACAATACTGTTCTCAATGGTAGTAGAATTAACTGAAATTTCGTTTACTACAACAATAATTTACGTTGTAGTTGATGCAATCATTTTTGTTTTTGTTTATACTAGAAGAATGGTTCACCGTACTACGCCAACGTTTTTGACGCAGCATGGTAACATCAACAACAGTTGTATTCATTTCAAATACAATATTCGTTCTACCGAAATTTAGTGGTATTTTGTTTTCATTTTTAACCTACGAAATAGTAGTGGTTACCATGGGACTGTTTTCAGTGTAAACAG